CAAAAAAGTAGCAATTATCAAGACTAAATATAATAATACGCTAATGACCAACATCATAACACGGTAGGAACAGTTGCCACTGACTCAGATCAACGAATATCATTTTTGATTTGTGCATTCTTCGATTTTGAGTACAGCCTCGACAGTATGTCATATGTAAATAAGACTTAGGTATCAACAATAATATCTTTGTAAAGATGTAGCGTTTTTTCGAAAACCCTTCCCAAATCGTATACTTTTCCACATCTTTGACAAACATAAAAGTATGGTTCCGTTTTTAAGAAATTTGTCGATATTTCTCTGAGCTTAATAGGTACGTTATACTTGGTCGTACACGTGTCCTCATTTATGGCATTGTTACTTAACATCCATCGGCGTTCATCGATCGTACAATACATAAAATTGTTCGACAAAGTCGGTGTATCAAAATTATTATTACTAATTTTCACGCCGTTCCGTCTATTATACCTAATTAATTCAAATTTATTAGTATCATTATCGGAGTTGCCAAAATTGTTTGAAAGAAAAATTTACGACGAACCTTTCAAAAAGTTGATTCATTACTGTCCTCGAAATTTTTGTAAATTCCAAGCTATTGCAAACTTTGCAACGGGAAAATATATCCCTTCTAGTGACAAAAACACCATGATAAGATAGTAATTGTTGTAATTGCAAGTTATCAAACACAACAAAATAGTTTACGCCATGTGGTGGTAGTGCAGCCTGTATAAAACAGTTTTCTATCTGTTAATATTACATGCAATAAGCTTATGAAGAACATCAAATAAATAAATCGAACCTTATTGGTACTACTTATTAACAGTAATTTGTCATCACGTTGTGCTCTATGTATGGCAGCATCGATTGGTAAACGAATGCAATCACAACCACATGTTCGTAACTTGGTACACAAGGCAGATAGTATTGAATCACAAATCACTTTCCACTCGTAGATTGGTGTTTTTGTTTGCCTCAACTTTCGTAACGGATTTGCTTGTGCAAATGGCATACTATTTATAGAGGTGTCCACTTTCATAAGTGCTTGTGGTTTCGATGTTGCGCATCTCTGTCTGGAATCTTCACAGTAATACTTCTGTATTTCAATTTTTGGTACACGCGGCTGCATTAAAATACACATAATCATATACAAGACTCTCTATTTACTACATGTACATTTAAAAAAAGAGCCTATCTTTTAAAAATCCTTCTAAGCTAAAAAATATTATTTGAATTTCATATGATACCTCTTTGAAAGATTCACACAGAGTTTTTCAGAAGCATTAGCAAGAAAATCGACGTTTTTTAACCCCTCAAGGACGGTGTTTGTGGACTCTCGTGTTGTTCCCCTATGTATGGGTAATTTTTATAATTTGTAATTTATAATAACTAACTAGATTGTGTAAGGACTCCCCGGATATATCGCAGTGCATAAAAGATAAGAAGCTAAGGAAGGGGGAAATAATTAATGGAGAAATCATAATAAACGGTAAGCAATCACGACTTTTGCGTCGTCCTTGATGGGTTAATTTTGGTAGTGCTGTACCTTTTTAAATAATCAATTGTTTCGATGTATTAAAACTTGCCTTATCCGTATGTGACTTTGTACTTTTTTTTAGAGTTTTATGTGGAATGTTCTGTATTTCCAAGCATATATTCCTAAACGGTATATTTAGTCGAGCACATTGAGTTTCGAAAACATTATATATTTCCAATAAACAATATGCATCGAGCGCTGTAATAAGATACATAATTATATTATTATTATCATCACAAATTGCTATATGCTTAAATAATAGACAAAATGACAAAATAACCTGCATATATGATTTGCCCTTCTCTTAAGGGTCGTTGTTCCCAATTAGAGAACTGATCTGATTTATTAAGTCCTTGCCCAAAGCAAAGCTCCACGAGCTTGCTAAGATTTTTTCTGAAAAATGGATCATCTGTTCTGTTTGGGAATACAAACTTATATTCGTCTACTAACTTTTGCCACAAATGCACAATGTCGAGGTATCCTCGTACATTTGCACAACACGGCAAGTGAGCACGTATCATATCCAAATCATGTTTTATGCCAAAACCTGTATCACGTAATTATATATACTACATGTAACACATCGTGGTCGTATAAAAATATCAAACAAACATACGAATTAAATAAAAAGTTATACAATATCAACCAATACTATTTGTGCATAAAAAACACGAATCAACTCATGATCAGTTGACGACATGTTAACTAAGTACTTTGACATGATGATACCATAATGAAATGTTTTTAATTATATGTGACATTTACCAAGTTTAATTATGTTTGGATTCTCGAACAATGTTAATTCGAGCTCCGACCATAAATCATTTGCCGTATTTGCCATGACGGTTACGTCTAAAATATAAACTTTAAACTCTGTTGCGATTTGTATGAGTGCTAACTCCGTTTGTGTTGAACCTGACAATCAGTGAAAATGTTAGAATCTTATTTTATTACCAAATGCTCAACTTAGAAAATTGAATGCTTAAATTAGAATACTACCAAAATTTGGTTTCCATTCAGTATCAATTCCCACTATAAAAACGTCTTTCAAACCAATATCAAGAAATTCTTCAAATTTTTGTGAATTATCTACCACAGTGACGCAATTCCTTTCTAAGCATAGTTCGTGATAATTTATGGAATCACTGTTATACCAATCATGCGTTTCTTCTTTGCTAGTAGAAGCTCCTTGATTCATTTCTAAAGAGGAAAATTTTATGAATATGGTATTCTAATTGGAAAATACAGCAAAACATCTGATTACCGTTGGCTTCTATTTGTTCAGCTTCATATGTAATGGCCCACGGCCATTGTTGTTTAGGTATATCAAATTTTTTAGCCCAATATAAACCTTCTCTAGCATCCTTTACATTCACTAGTAATCTTAATAAGTCAAGCTGTAATTTTTTGTTGTTTCCGATGGCTTCCTGAGCCATTTCCCTCCAACTTGCTTGACCTTCATTTAAGAATGATCAGAATTATATTTACATCCTTTGAAAATCGTAACATTTTTTTAGAAAATGAACATACTTAAACTATAATCACTATAACGTTTGTGAATGAGAAAGTGCAAAGCACCTTCGTTTCGTTTATCATTTACATTTTGACAAATACTGTGTGGCAGATTGTGTAATTTAACAAAACGTGCCACCAATTTAATCATTGGTTTACACTCTGTAGTTGATATTTTTATATCCGGTATATTATGTTCTCTGTAATATATTAGAAACATTATTGTGCTCGATACCAATTTATATTAAATAATTTAAACTTACGAAATAAATTTAATTAATTTCATATTCATATCGGAAGTGATTAAACTGTCCAAGTACTGGACCAAAGATATTTGGAGCTCTGGCTCCCCGGCTATAAATTCATCGACAAGCGACAACTTATTTTGTAAAATAAGTGGTAACAATAAAACCTCTACATCTATAAATCTTTTTTGTAATTTTAATACAGTTGCATATTGTGCAGCTGGCTTAAACCTTTTTTCTGCAATCATTCCCTAAAAAAACATATAAATACATTACAATTGTTTTAATTGTTCAAAGTGCATTACGTATGTTATAGTTGTTACCTCAATAAAAGTAAGAAAAATTTCTTTATCCTCTAAGAATTCGTATGTATTTGCAAATAATTGGAATAATTCCATACTTGTATGCTCAGCTATTAGCCGAAATACAGCTATTTTTAAATCTACTACTAAAAATTCTTTATATCTTTCTTTTTCTGACTTCAGCCAGCTTGCAAGTTCTTCTATAACTGTAATACAAAAAATGAATTATTACATCCATTATTTTTATATAATACTGAAAAAATCTAACAGCAGTTATTAGACTGTAGATATGTGTTTATATACACATACACGAAGGTTTAATAAATGTTTTTTCTTACGTGGAACCAAATTAACTTCTCGGTAGATAAAACTCCACATACTAAACTATTGCTAAACTAGTTCTACAATATCCAAATTCATAAAAATATCTGTAGTCTAATTATAGCGATAAATGACAAATTCCATTTATATAAAACAAATATATACGTAATAAATTTCATAAAAAAATGAACCTGTATACACTAGTGACGGTTTACGTGTTGCTTTTTTAAAATCTGCGATATTTACTACAATTCTTAATGCACTTAAGTATGGATTTGGTGCAGTTGAAAAATACTCCACCAGTGCTGCTTTTATGCCATCACACATTTTCCCTGTATAAAATTATACGAAGATTAGAAACCAAAAATATTCGAATGATGTAGTATTAATACTTTTTATACACATTTTATACTTACACAGTTTCCATATATGTTCCAAGTGTTGAATCCATTCTTTTGTCGCTTCGTCTATCGTAATAAAATACTGTAAACCATCATCCTTCTCATGGCAATTTACTATTCGGTACGTTGGTTTTCCTATTTGATTTTCCATCGCTTATACAATAATATATTCTAGGAAAGTCTGTGTGCTTTACCAAGGTATCAAAAAATGTTGAATGTTGAAAACAATTGAATTGTCGTGACCTACGATTTCATGTGTCCAACGGTCGTGTTTTTTTGGGGGATGATTACTGAGGATATGGAAGAGCATGTAAATGTAAATTTCTTTCGGCGATATACAATACTACGTATGTACATACATGCACTTCATAGGGAAAGAGAAAAAACCATTGATCTATATTTTCAAAGCAACGGCACGAAATGTATTAGAGATGAAATTCTTATTGGAATTTTTAATGTTCATGAGCTCAAATTGGATGACCTTGACTTACCACATATAGACAATGTTGCCACTTCTCTAAGTCTTGCGTGCTCATCTCTTTCTTCGAACCACTAAATAAAGCGAAATATACGTGAACAAAATTAGAGATATTTCAATAGTGTTTAATAATTGTAAGTGAATTACAAAATGCGGCGATATAAGGCATCATATGATAAGAAACAAAGTATAAAATTCTCTAGAAACTTCTCTATTATCTAGTGACTAGATCCTAGTTCAACACTCCTAATTTACCTCGACATTGTTAAATACATATCTTCTTGAATAGGGCATGTAGGAGGTAAACAAACGTAAATGTAAAATATTCGGAAGATAAGTGAAATACAGATAACTTCAGGTAATTATTATTTTGGCAATTTCTATGTTCCTATATTGAAATCGAATGTATTTTGGAACACGCGACAAGAAAAATGTTTTGTTTGTGATGGCACTGTTTATTTTAGAGAATATGACATGTGATTGTGATGACGCGTAGTAAGGAGGTCATATTTTGTGAATTTGAATTGATTTGCGACACAGCTGAGAAAAAACTTTGAAAATGATGAAACAAGATTTACCAAAACATTGGATTGTTCTCAATTCAAAGACACATCCGGAGCGAGTGTACTATTTCAATGTTAAAACGAATCAATCTTCTTGGGAGGCACCAACAACCGAACGGTCCGAACAAGTATGTCACAATTTTTAATCACTGGCATTAATTGTACACAATTTTTGTATTTTACAACATGAATATACTTCATAACCTTACGAAATTGCTGTGTTTGGTCGTATGTGATATATCGCGTTTCAAATAATTGGGAAATAATCTTTAAGATTGGCTTCCTTATTTTAATTAAAAAATAAGTTGTATTTTCAAAAGCTGTAATAGTACATACGTAACTATGCGTACAATTAATTTTAGATCGTAAAGAAGACTAGGAGACATAAAAATATGCAACCTACCACACCTGAACATGAGGCACCTGAAAAAGAAATTAAAGAACGAAAAAAACTTGTTGCTAAAAGATCTCTTAAACGATCAATGGAAGAGACCAATGAACAGAAAGAAACTCCACAAATGCGAGCTATTCGTGAGAAGATACTTGCGAAAAAAGAAAGAGAAAACACATCTAAAACACGAAGTCCAAATTCTTCGAAAAATAATACAAAATCATCAATAGCGACAAATAAAGAAATTCTATTGAATGAAATCGATGAAAGTTCAAAGACAGCATGTACACCACAAATGCAAGTGATATTAGAAAAAATAAGAGAGAGGAAATCTAAAAGTAAATCTAAAGTGCAGAAAATTGATTTAAATAAAGATAATAGTAATAAAAGCCCTCAAAACCTTCCAGTTAAGCAAACTAAAGGTAAAAAAGACAAAGGTAATTTTATTTATTTATAAAGAATTTACTTATGAGTTAATTTCTGTTACAAAATGTAAATATTATATTCATATATTTCTGTTTTAAGTTATAGAGAAGAAGGACCAAAGAAGAAAAACATGTGATCCGAGTTTAATTGCAATGACAACTACGAAGAGAAATCGAAGATCTTTGAAGAATAATATGGGAAAGGAACGTATGGAAAAATTAAGGAAAAGCTTAACAATGGAAAATAGTATTAATGAAAGTTCTGATAGCGCCATTGGTCACTCACAAAGTTCCAGTATGGTTCACAAACATGGTATTACTCTCATTATCTTACTAGTGTTACGAGTTAATAGGTACATATTGGGTTTAATGGACTCAGCTCCCATGATCATGATCTTGACATGTGTTGTCATCGAGAAAGATTTTAGCCATCTCTCATTGTTTCTTAAAAAATTATTAACAAAATAGTTTTCATAGATAGAACATACTGTATGAATAATGGGTCCATATTTAAAAAATCAGCATGTGGTATATCTGTGTTGTATACGATTAACTTGTCGAAAAGCTACAATTTCATTGATTTAGAGTTGATTGAAGTTAGTAAGGTGATGGAACGGATAGGTTGACTCGAATAAAAAATAACTCCACCAACTTGAATTATAGCTTCTCATTGAAATCTTGTATATTGCTTGTAACGTTTAGATGTAAACCATATTTTTTCGACACTGGATATACAGATATCCTCATACTTATCATTCTGTTTTGATTTTTTATGTTGAGATTCTTACTTGAAATATTATTCGGTATCACTACAATAAACAGTTTTTTGTGTAACCAACTAGTTAATCAGGTAAGACCAAGACGAAGAATTTCACAAAGTTTGAAAATGCGCTTATTCGCATTTTACCCATACACCCCATACCATTTTACCCTCTACATCACAGAATTAAAAAAAAAAAACACGATTTCCACGAACGTATTGTCGCTTTTATTGATACAGTAAATTCTCTTCAAATGTCCCTCGGTTTGTAAACAAAAATGGATAATTTGGGAGAGACTATCGTATTTCCTTTTCCCAAATTGACCATTTTTGTTTATAAGTTCAGGGACAATTGGAGAGAAACAACTCGTCCATTGTTTTAGAGGAGTTGCCGCTTCACTCACAAAGGTTTTTTGCAATTATCTCGGAAATCAAGACCGAGTGATGGGTGCACGTATAGGGAAAAGTTCAAAATAACGCCCTCGATGTTAACAATTAATATATATTTTTTAATATTACAGTTGCAAAAGATAAATTACCAAGCATTTATAAAAATATAGAAGTTAGACTAACACGTTTAAAGGACAAAGTTTCAAAGACTAAGGTACCAATTAATACAGCTTCCAATAACGATAAACCGAAAATATTGTCTGTGGAAACTGTAGCAACAGAGAATAATTTGGTAAATCGATCCAATGAAAATTCAATTTACGAGGAAATGGAATGGGAGCCATTAGAAGATGAAAAAATTACGTTTGAGGTAATATCACATATATTTTACTGAACATTTTGAAAATTTATTTAAAATGGTTCTTTAAGATATTTTTTATTTACATTATTTAGGTCCAGGCTGTTAGAACACAACTTTGTACAGTAAATAATGCAGATGTATCATGTAGTGTACCGAATTACGGTTTAAGTTATCCATTAATATCAGAGCAGCAAGAAAAAAAACAGTTGTATGTCGTTGTCGATACAAACGTGTTTTTGTCAAATATCGACGCTATCGAATTAATGAAAGAAAGTACCTTTAAGACTTTTGATCATCCATTCATCGTAATTCCATGGACCGTTATACGTGTAAGTATTACATTCGTAACACTGTTCAACATACTTTCGCTTTATCAAATGATAACACTTATTTTCTGAAAACTTCATAAGAGATTATTTTCTCGATAGGAACTCGATTATATTAAAAACGATAATGGTAAAACCAAACCAGCATCGTTGAGTATGAAAGCAAGGAAAGCTGTCAACTACATTAATAAATTGTTTTCCTCTAAATATCCATATATTATTGGTCAAACGCGGGAAGATGCCTTAAGAAATAAAAAGAAATACTCCATCGATTGCCCAGACGATGAAATTCTGCAAACATGTTTGCAAATTCGCGAATTAGAAAAATCTGTAGTATGTACCTAATTGTACAGTATAAATTCTGTTTACAACGAGTTTCAATGTTAATTCTTCTCTCTAAACGTAGGTATTAATGTCGTACGATACTAATCTTTGCAACAAAGCAATGATTTACGACATAACAGCGCTTGGAAGGAACGATCCTCTTGAGAAAGTGGATTATCTTAATGCACTAAACTATACAAACAATTTGTCTGCCAGTTTTAATGAAAAAAGAAAGGATTTGATCTTAAGTAAAGAACAGCACATACTGAATGATATATTCGACGAGATAAAAAATACTGTGAAAGACTTTCTAACAGTGGCGAGTATACAATATAAATATTTAATTGACACATAATAAAATACAGTTTATTGTAATATTTACAAAGTATTCTACTCCAGATAGTCAGCAAAGAGATGTACGAATTATATGGAGGATCTTGGGAGAAACACGTTATTGTGGAACCACCATGGACAGCTGTAACTGTTTTACAGTGCGCCATCAAACATTGGATAGCTGCGGTCAGCGAATCATTTCAGAGGAAAGGAGAAGCTGTTTTAAAGGAGCTGTTGCAAATATTTCGAGACAGATCCGGTGATAATCTATTTCTGTCGATGTAATAAAACAAAATACAAAATAAGATCAATTTATTATAAATACATATGTTTTAGGTGACAAAAAATTATCAGAAATCGGTTACATCCTGAATAAATGTACCGAATTGATCCAGATGGTTAATACAGACAAACATGGAGATTTGATGTTACGTGCTTCTCGGAAGATTGATGTAATTGATTTGCGTCGATATGATTTTCACGAATTTCACGAATTCAAAAGGGGTATTGTTTAAAACATAATATTTTTAGGAGCTGAGACAACAATGCCGTACTTTCGAGAACCAGCTGAACTATCAAAAGTTACAAGACGCGATTGGGTTGGAGCGCGATGTAACAGTACGAGAGAGAAGGGCGCAGAAAGCTTTTCAGTATTTCGAAGCAGCATATACTTTCGCTCGTGATATATGGCAAGTTTTATCGTTAACTGTTACATCTAATCAAATATTAAGTGCAATTTGTACAGAGAAATAAAACTCACGCTCCTTTCTTTTATACAGCGGGTTGGCAGCTGCTACGATAGCGATGCCGTGTAGTTTCGACTACAATATTCCAGACCCAACTCCATCTGGGGACTATATTAAGCAGATACAGCCGGAGCTCGCGGCAAACGTCAACCGATTATTACATACTCTGAGCGCGTACGTAACTGATAACGAGAATTACTCGAAACCTTTCTTACCGCATGCTACTACACATTCGACGTTATTATTACAGCGTACTGGAGCAAGCCAAAGATTTCTCTACCGACTATCGAACATTGGATAGCCTGCATCAAGCATTGGTGACGTTTCTTCCGGAAGTGTTGCCTATAAGAATGGAGTTACCCGACGAAGATCTGACGCCTTTGGACATATTTTGTTGCGTGACGCAAAAGGAGGAGATGCTGGCAACAGGTTTACATCAGTTACAGGAGCTCAGCACGCATTTCTGTAAATTAGCAAGCTATAAACGTACATAAGAGTGTATTGTATATAAAGTTAATGATGATATCGTTGAAGCTTATCGTATTTTCAAGGGGGGGGGGGGGGCGCGTTCAACCGAAAATCAAATACTAGTAATTCTCCAAACAGAATTTTGAAAAAATATGTTTCTATAGTACCGTTTACATAGAATCAAATTATGTACAAATTAATTTTCCAACTTCTATTTTTGAGCAACAAGAAAGTTTTATTTTTATTTTTTTAGTAACAAAAAATATAGAAATATATCTTTTCAAAATTTTATTCGGAAAGTGACTAGTATTTGATTTTCAGTTGAATGCCCCCTCCCCCTCCTAACAACAGTATATACATGTATATGTATGTACATAGATTTGTCCTTTACATAACATCTTTGCCACGGGTGTACAGTGTAATTTAACCAGTGTATATGTAGCAGGAGGCAGAAAAAGCGGCATACTGAATTTAACAGTTTTTTTATTAACAGTTCTATATATTACAAGAAATAACTTTTGTATAATGTGAAAAATAAAAATGGCCACAGCCACAGTAACAAGCGGTGCTGCATCGTTGTATCCCCGTGATATTTTCGAGCGCTCGAACAACGTTCATTCCGCCCGAGGGTCTCGCCCGGAACGCGTCGCTCAGTTCCTGTACAATTTCGGGAATCCTTCCGGCGGTGGTTGCAACCAGTTCTCCTTCGTATAGACCGTGTCCTGTGTCTCGATCACGTGGAAAGTGTACGCGTTCCGCGACTTTCCGCTCCTGTTCGGGGTCGAGAAGTGCACCACCTGACCGTGTATGAGGACGCAGGTGCCTTTCTTCACCGGCACCGGCCGGAAGCTGCTCAGTTGGTAGCACGGAAGCCCGCCGTCGTAGACCAACAGATCTTTCGAGTCTGGCTCTTTGTTCCTGATGTAACGACGATGGACACCGCTTTTATGAGACCCGGCCGCGAACCATAAACACCCGTTCTCCTGGGTAGCGTCGTCCAGAGCGATCCAGACACCGACTACCGAGACCGGTTCGGTGTACAAGTACGTCGCGTCTTGGTGCATGAGTACTGTTAACAAACGAATTTATACGATATGAAAAATGTGGCTAACATATATGGAATTCGAGCGACAAGAAGAATATTTTCAGGGTACAGAAATGTTCGGGAGAATTTTCTACGGGTATATTTTATGCTATGAAATCCTATTTAATCGTTGTCGATATAGATAATATTGATTGTTTGTTACGGAAAATGGAAGATCGTATGAAATCTGCTAATTTATGGGGTAGAAACATAAATGCATTCAATATTCTGTACATACATTTTTTCGATAGCCCTTGAAAGTTAGTATATGTAATTGTATTTAATAAATGATAAAAAAAATAAGAAAATTTTAAGGTTTAGTAAATGTTCTCTTACTTTCTGTTCCTATTTCCGGGTTCTTGTAAAGGATCATTGATTGACAAATGGCTGGTTCTTTGTAATCCAGTTGGAACATTAATTCTTTTATCCTCTCGTCGAACGAGTACTTCTTCAACGTGGGATTGAGCCAATGAAGCGCGTGACCAACCTATATATATTGATTTTAAATTAATATTTATTATTAATTATTATAATTATTATAATTATTAATATTATTATATATTATATATTTATTTATATTATATTATACATTATTATAATTAATAATATTAATTAATATAATATATATAATAATATATTATTAATATTTATTAATATTTATAGTTCAAGATCATCAGGTGCCAACGTTCGATTACGATACCTTGTGCAAAGCGATTTCAGGGTCCACCTTCAACTTGCCGTTACTGTCTAACGCGTCCTTTTCGTAGAACATCCTGATTATGTTGGCGCTGTCCACGAAGTATTTGTCTTTACTCTGAAACAATGATCATTTTCAATTTTATATTCGAGTTAACTATCGACGAAGACAATTCGTGACAATCGGTTCACACCTGTTGCGACGTCTCCGTGTTGAAAACGTGTCGTTCACTTTCCGGCGGCATATTTTTAGGGTACTGTTGAACGCAGTCTTTCATTTCGTCGATCTCTTCCGGTTTGAAGAAATCTTCCAGGACGACGAAGCCATCACGCTCGTACTGCAACAAATCGAATTTCGTTGTTAGGCTTATTTGTGTCATTATACGCGATTGGTTGGATAATAAGACTGTAATTATACCGGGTTATGTTAAGGTACAGCAGGATAGCTCGGAAGGAGTTATAGTTATTATTAATTATTATAATTATTATTATTAATAATTAATTAATATAAATAAAATTAATATAATTATTTTTTAATATTATATATTATATATTTATTTATATTATATTATAATATAATATAATATAATAATAATTATATTATAATATTATATTATTATTATTATATTATTATGTTATAATTGTAGGACGGGCTACATCATGTACTATCAATTGCTTTCTTGTGTAACCAATGCAGGACGTAAACATAAGCTAACGATTTACCTTCATTGAACTCAGAATAATATTGTATAGCACCTCTTTGGATTTCTCTCAGTGGCTGCTGTTACTTTCTGAAGAAGTATAGCCTTCCATTTAAAAAAAATTTGATTGACTTTCAGATAGCCCGTACTACTTCATTCACAAGAAAGCAATTAATACTACACAATGTAGCTCATTGTACCAAACAACTTTTGTAAGGACATTTTTTTAATGACTATAACTCCTGCTATACTCACTTAAACAAGACACCCTGTACATTGATTTCTGATCAGAATAGATCATATTAGAATAGACGCTTCGTGGGATAAACAGAATCCCATAAAGCTCCTCTCTTGCTTTCTATGTACCTACCCGCAGAAGCGTATTAAAACCTGTTTACCCGAAATCTTAATATACGAAATATCTCCGGAGATGAATAATTTTCATCCTCTTTCTCCAGCGCACCAATAAGTCGTTTAATTAAAATTTCACGGCGCATATACTATGTTAATAGCGCGCTACATGTCTGTCGGAGCATGATAAACAAATCTTTGTTTTAGAACTCGACGCGAGAGTCATCTTGCTCGTTGTGTACATACGTATCCTCATTAAAGTGAATGCGATTTATTCGTTGATTGACCATTAGATAGAGCTAAAACTATTGTTACAATACGTTACAATAAATATTATAATATAATATAAATATAATATAAATATATATAATATATATATAATACAATATAATATTATATTATATTATATTATAATATATAATATATATTATATAATATCTGTCTCTTATACACATCTAGATGTGTATAAGAGACAGATATTATATAATATATATTATATATTATAATATAATATAATATTAATACATATTATTATATAATATATATTATATATTATAATATAATATAATATTAATACATATTATTATATAATATATATTATATATTATAATATAATATAATATTAATACATATTATTATATAATATATATTATATATTATAATATAATATAATATTAATACATATTATTATATAATATATATTATATATTATAATATAATATAATATTAATACATATTATTATATAATATATATTATATATTATAATATAATATAATATTAATACATATTATTATATAATATATATTATATATTATAATATAATATAATATTAATACATATTATTATATAATATATATTATATATTATAATATAATATAATATTAATACATATTATTATATAATATATATTATATATTATAATATAATATAATATTAATACATATTATTATATAATATATATTATATATTATAATATAATATAATATTAATACATATTATTATATAATATATATTATATATTATAATATAATATAATATTAATACATATTATTATATAATATATATTATATATTATAATATAATATAATATTAATACATATTATTATATAATATATATTATATATTATAATATAATATAATATTAATACATATTATTATATAATATATATTATATATTATAATATAATATAATATTAATACATATTATTATATAATATATATTATATATTATAATATAATATAATATTAATACATATTATTATATAATATATATTATATATTATAATATAATATAATATTAATACATATTATTATATAATATATATTATATATTATAATATAATATAATATTAATACATATTATTATATAATATATATTATATAATATCTGTCTCTTATACACATCTAGATGTGTATAAGAGACAGATATTATATTATATTATAATATATAATATATATTATATAATATTATGTATTAATATTATATTATATTATATTATAATATATAATATATATTATATAATATTATGTATTAATATTATATTATATTATATTATAATATATAATATATATTATATAATATTATATATATAATATTATATAATAATAAATATAATAACGTTACAATAAATCCAGAACTATTGTTACAATACATACAGTAACGTTACAATAAATCTAAAACTATTGTTTTACTACTATTGCCCACGATTGATTTAAACCATTTTTCGTTCGCATTAAGATCCCTGGTCTAGTAATTGCACGCGGATGGATCACGGAAGCCTGGCCTTGCAAGCGGAAAAAGAACGGCAGAGAACAGGTTCTAGTCCGATTGTAATGAACGCTGGTTACGTGTTTGGAAAAATGTGCCGAGCACGTGGTATATTTAGCGAACACGTCGCCGACGTCCAACCGTAAACAGACGGAAAGTTATATTCCATTGTCATGGAAACTCGATACTTATCGTCTTCGGTTCGAGACGAGGGGGAGGGGGCAGTACTATTCCTCCCCTTTTGTCCACTCTCTGAACAGTACTTTGTCCCAGTATCGTAAAAATACCACGTGCGAGGGCTGGCAACCACGCCAGCCGAAGGGAAAGCCACCAGGGTGGAAAAAGACAATTTTTAGCGGATCTTTGACAATGTTGTTGAACGTATTTTCACAGATTATATTTCTAATCACTTTATAGTACATGCACTCGCGATCTGTAGAAAAGGTTTGTGTACACTTTTTACAATGGGAATAACTCTGAATTTTGCCGAGACGTTAAAAACGCTAGTTTACTGGACAATGAGCGCAAATTTTGTACGATTATTGCAATTGATTGGAACGACAAAAGAAAAATTTAAACTGACGTTTTTTTCCTACTTTTTTTCTGAGTCTACGATGAAGATTTATACAATTTATATTGTTGTAAATCTCTTTAGTTTATATGCATGTTAGAAATTACATCGAAATTAGTTAAAATATAGGCTGCAGATAGTGAAAATCGAAATTTTTCACGATCTTTGACAAATAACTAAGAAATCCGGAGATTTTTACATCTTTCAATGCTTGTGGCTCATAACGATAATCGATTTCAATCTCAAATAAGAAAGTTAAGAAGCATCGCTTAATATTTTTTATCATGTCAGTCAATTGCAATTTTTACAAAATTGTAATAAATATATATTAAGTTAAATTATATATAAGTATATTAAGTTAACATTATATATAAGTATAATTGTAATAGATTATTAAGTTAAAATTATATATAAGTATAATTGTAATAGATTATTAAGTTAAAATTATATATAAGTATAATTGTAATAGATATATTAAGTTAAAATTATATATAAGTATAATTGTAATAAACTAACAAATAAAACAAGTAATCGCCTGATAAACTAACATCTCAAACAAGTTTAAGTCGTTCAAAATGCTCTTTGATCTTCTCTTTCCGAGAATAATGTGCAACGGGAACTGAAAAAATCGTTCCAAGGTGACGGAACAAGAGATAAGCTTGTCACGGAACTGGAAGTTGAAGGTCGAGGACAAGCCCTACTCCCTATATCGATGCGCTCGATTGAGAGCATGCTCTTGGTAACTTCATCCCCGAAAATAGGCGCATAATCATTTGACAGGTGGATGGAACAGACACGCAGTCACGGGTGCCAAAATAAACGAAAACACAAACCGTCACAGAAATCGCCTACTGCTTCTGTCTGTGATACTATTAGGTCGGGCAACATGATTTTCAGTCTGAAAGTTGAAACGAGATACAGTAAATTCTCCCTAATCGACGCTCAGATCGTACGCAAAGATCGTTTTTATAATATCAATTATATTTATAATAGCAATATAATGCTATAATAATGCTAATGGTAATAATGGTAATAATGCTAATAGCAATATAATTATAATTATATATTATTATATTTATAATAGCAATTTATTATTAATAGTTAATTTATTATTGAATATTTAATTAACAGCTTTATGTCCTTTTATTAAAGTCAAAATTCAACGGTTGTTCAGAATGTGAAACATGTATTTTTGTTCGAACAGCGATCTTTTATAAACTTTTTATATTTTATTTTTTAAGGTCATATTAATTAAACGATATTATTCAACGATATCGCACAAATAAATATACCTCGAGCAGAAAAGATAATATTTATAGCAGTTTTTCTTACATGGACACAAAATGATCTTCCCTCAAGCATTCATAGGGTTAAATATAATACTTCAAAAACGACAGAGATTTCATGCATAGTCCAATAAATTATATGGATTCATCATCATAATCTAACAACGTTTTCTGAGCTTTCAATGTAAAAGAAGATTGCCGAGCTTATTTTACATGCAGCCCAGTGATTGGAAAATCTATTAATAGGGTGCCGTTAAGATGACGATTACATTGACCGAAATAGTATGCAGTGGTATGCAACAGTGTGAAAATTGTGGCGAATTCGCGGACAATGAAATGAAGAAAATATATCACGTTACATCTGAGTTTATAATAATTTCAGGCTAGGAATTTAGCTCGAATCGTTGACGAATTAGCAGAAACAATAGAAATTGGAACTCTGGTGGATATTTTCACAGAATTGGAGACACATGTATGTACGAGCGTTAGTAATCAATGTACGTTGACCATCTACCCTTGTTTTTCTAGTTAAAAAGAAGGAGAAACCTTCCCCGTTTTCCATTAGTAATGTATCGGCTTGGCAACTAAATAATTGCCGATTTGTTCAATGAAATAAAAATAGACACAAGTGAGCACTTTTCTTTGCGTTGAATATTATGT